GCTGGATCCACCCCTTTCACATAATTACACTTTTGCAGTTGCTGCTCCACACTGAACAAGGTAAACAACTAGGGCAGGATTAGAGTGAGGGGAAAAGGAGGTATGTAGGGCACAAAGCATAAGGAAATCTGAGCCATATGGGTGTGTTCTAGGCACCTCATACGCTTCACTCTGGACCAGGCCCTGGAGAGCAACCTTTAGCACAGGAAGGAGTTTCCAAGGGTGTGTAAAAGTGCAGGCAGGGGAAAGGGAGATGTGGAGACATGATTCCTGTCTTCAAATATATGAAAGGGGAGACAGAATAGAGTAATTCAGTGCTATTTCAGAAAACCAAATTGGGGCCAATAAGTGGGCTGACTTCCACTTTAAAAGAACATAATTTTTATATAGCAAGGGCCGGTGTTTATAGAACAGTGTGCTAAGTGCCTCACCCAATAATATCACTCATCCTCACAACTGTGAGGTGCTGAAGTGTATCCCAGCAATTGTACAGAAGAGGAAACTAAGAATTAGACAGGCCAAGCCATTGGTTTAAGGTCACAGAACTGCTTATATGACAGTCAGGATTAAAAATCAAATCTGACCCTTGATTGAACCCCAGGCTCTTAACTACAACAGCAAGTTATTTTGGATATAATTATAAAAATTGTATTAGGATATTATATGTGAGCAAAATCCTATCAGTCACCTATCAGGATATTATAAAAAGAGGCTTCAGAAAGGAATTAGAACAGTGACCATGAACGCGTGTTGCCAAACCAAAGTAGCAGGAGAGATTGGCAGTGGGCTTTGTGACACTCTCCAGCTCCTAAGACCACCAGCAGAGCACCAAAGTTCAAGTCTGCTTGGTCTATACCAGCAAAGCACACAAATATTCACTGCCCAGGGTTGTGGTAAGGAGAAAGAGCCCAGAAGCATCTGAAGAGTGAGAGACCCGGTTTTTCTACCTTATTAGCATCACTATAGATTTGAGTGTGTAATCCTAAACTCAGGAACAAGGCAGAATCTGCTGGAGGCATTTTCAAGAAACCTGGTGATTAAGCCCAAGTCTAGCAGTACTCACAGGGGTGCACCCAGACTTCCAGTGATTTTAATGAACAGCCAGGTCTGTCACTGCCCTAGGTGACAGTGCTCAGAAGTAGAAAACATTTGTCTTGTATAAGTTTTCTTTTACACAAATCAGACCACTGGTTATAAAGCAAGAGCTACATCGTAATAACTGAATAAATTTTAAAAATCTCTGGCCTCCTACAATTATTAACTAAATTATAAATCTTGCTCCAACTCTGCTATCTGAGATCAAAAGGGCCTTGTATACCATATCACAGCTGTTCCAGCGCCAGTGTGATTGTGCACATTTAGATTCTTTTTGGTAGACAATGATGGTAACAAATAAAGAAGTTCAAAGCCAGGGAAAGTGGAGCACATTTGTAATCCCAGCACTCTAGGAGGCTGAGGTATGAGCACTGCAAGCTCAAGTCCAACCAGGGCACCTTAGCAACTTACTGAGACCCTGTATCAAACTAAAAATAAAAAGAAGGTTATAGATGTAGCTCAGTGTGAAGCTGTGTTATATCCCCAGTAGCACCAAAAGTAGATAGATAGAAAGAAGGTGATCAGAATTAACTACTCTTATACTATCTTGCTACAAATTATAATGAAACTAAGTTTCAGACTAAATTTTGCACATACATTATTAAACCCACAAACACTGGCAAGTGTGGAAGACTGTCAACCTGGTTTATGAGATCAGTGAATTTCCAAGTCTATGTCTTTTCAGATACACCTTGCTTGAAAGGTTCACAGGGAGACAGTGACATTCCCTGGTATGTGGTGCATTCTATATGAGGTACACTCAATCAGAAATCCATTGAATCTATGACCAGACACAGCACCAATTTTAGATCAAGCCTCGGGTACCATCCTAATGCTAAGTTAGTTATGCATCTAATGTGTTCTTGTGACCTGTTCATATGAGGAGGGGATCTCTGAACTATTTTAGCTGTTCACATATTTAGAGTAATACAATTTCACCTAAGAGGTTGCTTTTGTAACATTTATTATGCTCATTTAAAAGCTACTCATTTTTCCAGTAAAATTTCTTTTTAAGATCAGAATGCTAACCTTCAATGCTCTATTGTTCTAGAGAAACAGATCATAGAAAAACTTGTAGTTTCTGATGTTGTCTTAGCTAGGCATTGGGCTAGTGCTCTTGGCAGAATGTTAGCTGGTCAACCATCTTGAGAAGTAAAGCTTCAGCTGCATATGCATTATATCACTCTGTTTGTAAAGTAAATTACAGACATTCTAGCAATGACATTGTGTAGCATAGCACTGTTTAGTGCTGAGTATAGTGGGCTTTATTTTACTTTGTGTGTGAAAATATTTTTGGTGACTACAGTAACTATGCCTATGAAGTAATCTGGTTTATCTGGAAGAGACTGATATTGGCAGTACTTCTAAGGAACAAACCTGTGACTAAATTCTTCCCATAGTTTATATTGCAGATGGTCTCATGTTATCCAGCCTCTGCATACTCCCTCCCAAGTCCATGATAGGACTAGGTCTAGGCTGACATCAATGAAGCTCACAAGGATAAATGACACAGAATGAGTGAATTTTCTATCACCAGTTGGTTATTTTTTCTTGATACTTGCACCTGATTTAAGGATAGCTCCCTGATTTAAGGAAGGTACACTGATTACTTAGCATTGTCATTAAATTTTTTGTTTTTATTTGTAAATTCAGTGTGTAGTAGACTTTAAGGCATTGCCAATTGAAGAATATTTCTCAAAAAAATTAATATAACCCATAGTATTGAAGTTTTTGTTTTTGAAACAGGGTCTCACTGTGTAGTCCAGGCTGGCCTTGAACTCACTATGGTTGACTTGGCCTCTAACTCACAATGATACTCCTGCCTCAGCCTCCCAAGTACTGGGATTACAGGCATGCACCACCATGCCTGGCCTTAAACCCATAGTATTTTATGCATCATTCTATGAAAGCAAATCTATACCTTTACCAGTTCCCAGAAGATTTTCAAGTTTCCAGATTTTTAAAGCTTATAGATAAAACCATGAGGTGTGATCAAAAAGTACGGTGAGGTTTTCTGGGTTATTGTTTTTTATGTCACAGTAGAAGATACATTGCCATTAACCCCCCTAAAAGATTCCCCCTGGCTTCTAACACACTTATTCCATAGTTCTTATTACTTGCTAGAGCAGTTCTGTAAGTCCTTTTTTGTATCTTTAGTTGTGCTGTTGTGGCTGCCTCAGTGCCCTGAATCAAATAAAAATGTTTACCTTTCACCATCATACGACTTTAAGGAAGAGTCAGAGGTCCACCGAGTGTCACATCTGGTAGGTAAGAACACACTGTAATGTTTTTATAACCCTACCTTTCCAGTAGATGCTGCTCAACATCTGCTTCCACTGTATTTGGGATCATACCTCGTAAAAACACTCACAAAGGAAGGCTTCCCAAACTGCTTCAGAAAGTGGCAAGAATAATAGGATAAGTGTGTTCAAAGTGAGAAGTATTCTGACAGGGGATTAATAGTCACCATAAATTTGATCACATCTTATATATACAGGTTCAAACTAATGACAAGATGGGAAAATGGCTCAACAGACACTAGGCGAATGTCAGAATGCATTTAGTGCTGAAGGGAAAGGGTGGAGTCACAGAATAACGAGTGACATTTTATCCAGCCATAATGGCATGGTCTCTGTTTAGAAACTGCCCTTTAATAACTTCCCAAAATATTTTCTGATATAAAGTAAAAACAGAAACCAATACTTAGCTCTAAAACAGGCTATCATAAAAACAGGCTATCATACAGCCAAAAGTTACGTATAATAGAAAGGAAAATGAAACTCGATCTTTTCATTGTTAGAAGAGGCCAGGTTTTCAAGGTTAACTCCATGAGACACTATCTCTTTCCTACATTAAACAACAGTAGCATTGTCTCGGGTGAGCTAAATCTTCCAAAGCCTTCCTTATGACTACAGAAGCCTGACTTGAGGGTACAGACATTCAGGCTTTGGTGGGAAGCACAATCATGTCTATTCCCGGGTGTGCCATCGACCCAGTGTGATAAGAGCAAATGTCTTCATCTTTGCACTGGGCTTTACATGTGCCACAGGTGCTGTTTAGACCCTTTTCTATAGAAAGTGCAGTATCCGGAAGAAACCAATTACCTCTGCCCAAGAAAGAAAGGGTTCAAGGTACAAGGAAAGCACTTGGCATCATGACTGACTCAAAGTCCTGTGCATGCTAAGGCCAGTGATAGGAAATTTAATATTTAATTCCCTGACTTTTTTTTAAAGATCTGTCCTGCACAACAACTAACTAAAGTTTTCAACAACTGAGGAACAAAATAAACCAGAACATACTAAAATCGGCTTCACTGGAGATTTCCATGTAAGTTAAAATGTGTGATTTGGTATATAAGCATACAGCTGAAAAGTAGATGTTTAGAACTGCAGTCAACAGAGCTGGATTATGGAGAACTGGAACAAGAACAAAATGGATAAGGGGTGCCAGAAGACTCAGTAATCCAGATATATCAGTAGCAGTTTAAGGCAACACTTCTAAAACTCAAAATTTTTAAAGTTTATGAAGAGGAAGATATCACATGTAAAAAGTACTTTTAAATAAAGAAATACCATACAGAACAATATATGAGCCAGAAACAAGAGGAAAAGAATCAGTAATACTGATCTTGTCTCTAATTAAATTTTTGATTTGGGGTTCATCGTGGATATTTTTGTATTAATTTTGAGTCTCAAATACTACATAAAAACACCGTTCTCTCCATGGCTGGGGTTTCCAGAGTCCCTTTACATTTCCCTGACCTGGCAAGTGCCTCTCCCCCCGCACCCCTGCCACCTGGACCCCGGGATCAGTACCAGATCCTACAAGGGCCGGGTGGCCCCCCAAGGAAAGGCCTGGGACAGAGGGCTGAGTGCCCTGGCCTGACTGCGGGTGCCCCAGCCTACCTCGCTTGTTCTGCGTGCCATGCTTTTTGGCCAGGGCGAGCTCTCCCTGGATCCGGCTCTCCAGGTACTCCTGTTTCTTGCCCAGCATCTCCTCCGTCTCACGAAGTCGGGCCAGGGCCTCCTGAGCGCTGGGAGCAGCGCGGCCCTTCGAGGAGCCGCCTCGGTGGAAGAACTTGCCCAACTTACTCATGGCTGTGAGCAGGAAGAGAGCGAGCCCCGTCCCGGGCGCCCGTCCCGGGGGACAGGGGAGCGAGATGGTCCACTTGGGGTCCCTCACCAGAGAAGCTGCGTTCCTGGGAATCAACAAGTTGTCAGGGCAGGTGACATACACTCCTGGGCATTTCCTGGCCTCGGGCTCGGCCCCGCCCCTCGGCAAGGCTGCCCAGCGGGAGGGCCCTGGGATCCTGGGCCAGCCGGCGCCACCGGCCCCGCTGGGAGCTGGGGAGACCTGAGAAGGGTTGACAGCCGCAGGAATACTGCTGCAAAGCTGCTGCTTTGTCCGCACTGGATACGCACCAGGGATGGAGAACCGGTTTATGAGTGGCTCAGAGAAAAGAAAACCAATGATCCAGAGGTCTTTATTCAGGCCTGAAAGGTGTGTGTAATGAGTGTGCTTTGTGTACCTGGATATGCAACATGCTTTATTCTGTGTGTGTGTGTGTGTGTGTGTGTGTGTGTACATAGTGTTCTCATATTTGGGTCTCTTCTTGTGGACAACAACATTCAGATATTTTCCTCTAAGTGTTATTTAGGTGATTATGTGTGACTTCAGGGAAATTTGCCTGCACCAGTGATGGTGTGTGGGTAAGCAAGAAGTAGCTGGGTAGGCTGAGTTTGTCTGAATTTGTATAGTCTCTGCTGGTTGATATGGGCCTGGCTGCCAGTTGGTCTGATCATCTTTACATGGCTTCAAGTGGATAAAAGATGGTGGTCATCTCTTTTCCTAATGTCAGGACTTATGAATGTTTTGGAAGTTGCATTTACTTCTATAACTAGAATGTGAAGTTTTTAGTGTGATTGCCAGTGTACAAAAAAACTTTCTATAAGGCTATCCTGTGTGTTCAGATCTTTGTCAAATTCTTTCATAGACATCTAAGTAACAGAACATAAAGAACATCCTAGAGGAAAGAAACATCATTTCACTGGTGCTCACTATCTCTGTCCCATCTATTAGAGCTGCAAGCAAAAGACCTGACAAAATGACAAGACAGCAGGATGGAATGATTTTGGATGATGTGCCACAACTGGAAACCTGTGTTAAGCATGTTGCAAAGAAGTAGCATGGGGAATTCAGTCTGTCTAGTTTTCATAGATAAGCATGGTATACTGCATAATACCACCTTATTTAAGCAACATTATCCAACATTATTAGAACCTATTTGGGATCATTGGCCAACCTCTGCTAAAAGGGGGAAGTGGCATCCATTACTATGACAAATCCACTTTTTTTTTGTTTTTTTTTCCGGTACCAGGAATCAAACTCATGACCTTGCGCTTGCCAGGCAGGCACTGTGCCACTGAGCTAAATCCCCAGCCCCAACAAATTCACCTTAATAGCCAAGATCAATAACACAATAACACAATATTAACACAGAGCAGCAAATTAATCCATGTTATCTAGCACTGTAGAGAGAGCATCAAATTTTGCCAAAAAAATTGAACATTTTCCCAGGAGGCTTACCATTATACTACATATGCACACAAATACATGTGCACATGTGCAGACAGATGCACACTCACTCTTACAATTTCTGAGCAACTCCAGCCAGCTACCTCTTACCATTTTCTTTCTGGCCATCAAAAGTGCATATGGTGCCTATTTTGCTCTAATTTGGTATAATCATAAAGAGTAACAAGTATTATACATTTTTGTTATCTCAAAATGACATGAATATGTTTTGGAACTTGTTTTCTTGATTAGATTCTTAAGCCTTTTGAGAGTTGATAAGTAGCATATAACCTGCTATGGTTCCCATTGGCAGTCTGTTGACCCAACCTTCACTGAGTGTTTTCTATGTAGAGGGTAATGAGAATGCAAGCATGGTCTCCCCTCCTAGAACTCTCTTTCTTTCCAGAGAACAGTGACATCTTTTGAACTGCTGTGGGGAAAGCATGCTACACTGCAATATCAATAATCTGTACATAAACCCTGTAAAATAGGCGTAGCTATTTCTATTTGACAGAGAAAGTACCAAGGCTCATTTAGCTTCTTGATCACATTCATATAGGCAGTAAAAATAAAAGGTTGTAAAACCTATGATCTTTTCACCATTTATATGACCTTCATTCCCCCTGAGCTGGTCCAGAAAAATTCATTAAATATGTTTACTTTTTTTAAAAATGGGTAAAAAACTTATTATGAGTTTACTACATTTAAGAGATCCCACAAGCATTACTGAATTTGTGGAAGGGTACATTCAAATAGGATACTAAAACATTGCTTTGTTGTAGACTGACTATATACTTTTTATTGAAAGAACATTGAGCTGGGCATGGTGGTGCATGCCTATAATCCCAGCACTCGGGAGGCTGAGGCAGAAGGATCATTGCAAGTCGAGACCAGCCTGTGCTACAAAGTGAGCTCAAGGCCAGCCTGAACTGCATAGAGAGACCCTGTCTCAAAAAGACAAAAAAAAAAAAAGATAGAAAGAAAGAAAGAAAGAAAGAAAGAAAGAAAGAAAGAAAGAAAGAAAGAAAGAAAGAAAGAACATTGAACAAGTGGAAAAGAAGGCCTAAAAGTTACAGTGAGGAGGTGGGTACCTATCCATGTTTTCATTATCATACACTTGCTGAGAATCTATGTTACAGACATTATGCTAGTAGTATTGGGAGCTATGATTAAGAACAAGATAAAAGATCTTTTCTGTTCCAACAGATCTTGTAGCTTAAGGAAGAGACCAGAAGTTAAATAAAGTATCTAATAAATAATGGACTTTATAGCTTGAACTTCTAATAAATTCTATGGAAAAGTATGGGAACTATGGGAATAAGTAATAAAGGAAAGTGATCTTCTCTTGAGGTCAAACAGTGGCCTGAAACAGCGTCATGTAAGTGGAAATTTAAATGATGAATAGAAGTTACCTAAGTTTGTAGAAGGGAAACTAGTGATTCCCAGCATAAGAAATCACATATTTCCTCTTTTATTTATTTCATTATTCATGTATTTTTATCTGAGAGCATCATATACAATCAACATAGCTCTAAATGCTGAAATTCAGAAGTAAATAAGATGACAAAACTCCATGCATTTTGTAGCCTACTTTCTAGTTAAGAGAAGAGAGATAATTAATTAATGATGGAAATAATGTACTAAATGTGCTATATTAAAAAAAAAACAAAATAGAGACTACTAGGAAATTAAAATGATAAACAATACGTGCAAATATCTTGAGTCTGTAGCATTAGAGATTGAAAGAAAGACAGTGCAACTGGGGCTTGGAGATAGGACATTGCAATGAGACTGCCTTCAAATGTAGGCAAAGTCTAGATCATGTAGGGTCTACACTATATGCTAAGAATCTCATATTTAACTGAAGAAACAATAAAAATTAATCAGAAATTAAAGAATCTAGTCATTAATGTATAATTCATTGAAAAACATCTACCCAATTTATTATGTAGCACTTTAGGAAGCACATATGGTACACAAAGCAAGATATATTTAAATTAAAAATCATTCCATTCCATTAATACACAATACGGTGGAGAAAAGATAACACTTGCAAGCAAGTAAACCATCCAAAAATATAATAGTGTTTAGTCCATCAGTGAGATGTAGAAAATAAATTTTTAAATCAATGGTTTAAAAGCTGAAAATAATACATTAATCTTCATTCAATACTCATCCTACAAATGTGGTTTCATAAAGAGTTCTCAGCATCTAGTGTATTTTTCATTTTCTAATCTCAATTGATCTCAGCTAATAAGGAGGCTGTTGTTCAAAAAGAATGATCTTGTTCTGGATGATTTAGTATGGTTAAGATGGCAAAGGAAATTGGAAATTTATAGATCTGTTAAAAAGAACTCGATGTCAGGCTAATTGATACATTTTGGCTATCCCTTGAAATTGCATCCCTTTTAGAATGCCAAATGAGCTCACCAAAGCAACACAAGAAGAATTACCCTTTAAACACACTGCAGAATAATCATCAAATAGATATTTATTAACCAGTTCAACAAGCATGTACACATTCTTTTCATCAGCAGTTCTTCTGGTTTCTTCAACCCAAATAGTGATTAATATCACAATAAAGAGGACAAAAGTAGACATTACAAAAATAATAATTTTGCAAAAATGGACGTTTGATTGTCTCAGTTCATAATGAAAATATATGGTACCTTCGGCTGGGTTTTCCCTGTGTTGCTCTTTATTGATGTTCATTTCATCCATGATCAGAAAAAAGTTTAAAAATCTAAGGTTTATTACAGCAGATTATAAGTGTTTCTTTCCTACACCAACCATTTAATGGACTTAAAATGAGATGTAGCCCCCTACCTCAATGTCACTCTTACTGTACAACTGACTCAAAGCTGAGTCTTACACCTTCCCTTTCCACCAGAATTTCATTGTACTTGAGCATAATCACATGATTTTTGTACCTAATCAAGAAACACACAACTTCTCTCCAGTATTGTTCCCTTCTTTCTCAATTAATAACCTCTGGCTTCTTTTTGCTCAAACCGAAAACCTTAAGTCTTCCATGACCCACCTCCAATCTATCATCAAATTCCAGGACTCTAACTGACACAGAATGCTGACTACTTGTCACACTTCTAAAACTGTTGACCCCGTCGGTGCTTTGAGCCACAGTCAACTATTACTAGATTATCCCAATGGACTTTTAAATGAACTTCATAGAAATGTCTTTACCCTACCACAGTCTCCCTACATCACAGCTAGAGTGGACCTGGGCAAAATATTCTGATGACTTCCCATCTCACTCTTGTTAAAAACCATGGGCTTCACAAATGTCCACACACCGTACATGAAGTAATACCTATCCCCCACCTTAGTTTAACAATACCTCCCTGTGTGTACTACTCATTATAGTAAGAGAAATGAAAGAAAGTTTTGAAAAAGTGATAACGTCTGAAGTTCACTCTCAAGGATAGGTAGAAATCTGATTTGTAAAAGGGGTGAGATGATATTCCAAAGCAGAAGGAACAGCTGAAAGACATAGAGGTAAGGCAGCTGAAACAGTTTTTGAAATCTGTAATAATTCAAAAGCCCAGTGAATAAAAGAATTTAAAATATTTTTGCTGAAATATAGGCTCAGGGCAATTATAATACAATGGACAGAAAAAAACTGGCATGATATCTATATTCTTTAGGTTTATAGCCTAGAGGGGGAAAAACATTCAATAATCGCACAAACAAATGCAAAATCAAGTCTGGGACAAAAACTTTGAAAAAGATACAAAATGAAAGTACTAATAGCAGGATTTGTTCTAGTCAGAGAGAACAAAGAATTGCTTAAGCAAAAGATGACAACTATTGAAGTGATAACTAGAGGAAAAGAAGAAATGGACAAGTTGAAGTAGTGAATTGAAGGGCATTCCAGGGGGCTGAAATAGCAGGTTTAAAAGGCCTGAGGCCATGGGGAACAGAGTATGGAGAGGCCTTTGAGAGATAGTAAGGAAAGAGTAGGTTGGGCAAGAGTTAATACTCTTTAATATTAAAGAGTTTAAATGCTAACCAAAAACAATCCCTTTTAGCCTATTCAATTCTGTATCAGACACAGAATAATACCTGTCATGCAGAGTATTCTATGTGGTGGACTGCTGAACTGATCTTAGGGCAGATTTATTTTGTAGCTAATAAAAGCCACTGGGAAAAAATTAGAAAGTGAAGCAGGTAAATTGTAATACAACCTGGTTAGTGGTAATAAGAAAAGTAGCAAATGCTACTAGAGCACAGATCTGCTATCCTGGAGGACCAAATTTTGCCCATGCCCTCTGAAGTCTTCCCAGATGAAGGGGCAAGATAATTACATCCTGAAGGTGGAGTAACAGACAAAAATGTTTCCTACATTTACCTGATAAGAATAACTGTGAGAGTGTTAAGGCAAAAATTCGGGCTGTATTCCGCAAGAGACCAAAGAGAACAAAGTTTTAATTTGGACCGGTCACCTCTCATCCCGACTTGCAAGTCAGGGAAGTGGGCGTGGACCTGTCTTTGTTCCCAGGTTATACACATTTTTGGTTTCCATGGTAACAGAAAGGAATGTTGTAGCCCTGGCCACATGTTGTTTTCCTTGTGCCATGTAACCGGGTCGGCTCCGGTCATGAGCCCAACCACAATGATATATACTTTCTGTACGCTGTTCTATATGTCCCCCTTTAGATAACCATACATTTCCTTTGTGGTTACAATGTTTATCTTCCATCTCTCATGGAAGAGATGAAACAACCCAGGCAGGGTCATAGGTGGTTATCTGGGCCCTGGTGTTTTTTGTCTTTGGAGAAGCATTCCAGGGCTAAGTCAGGACTGCAAAGTTAACTCTTTACAACCCTCCGGGATGTTTCTCAAGACACATTTTGAGGCTTGCATTAAGACTAGAATTATTCTATCTTAAAATGATATGCTAAGAGTCATTGTCCCCTACAAGAGTGTGTGTTAAAAATACAACTTCCGAGAACGATCCCAGACCCTCTTAAATTAGACCCAGAGAGGAGTATGGGCAGCTGTATTTATTAACAAGCACTTCACCTGATTCTTATTTTCAAGAAAATTTGGGAAATCTTGGTATAGAGAACATTCTAGGAAAAAAGAAAGGCATGTGCAAAAGTATATTACTGAAATATAGGTATAATTAGGAAACAGACTAGGGAGTTTGTGGGGGAAGGGGCTATTACTGAGACTGGAGAACAGGATGGAGGTTAGATTGAAAAAATCTTTGGAGGGCTGGGGATTTAGCTCAGTGGCAAAAGTGTCTGCCTGGCAAGCGCAAGGTCGTGAGTTCGGTTCCTGGTTCTGGAGAAAAACCAAAAAAAAAAAAAAAAAAAAAAAAAAAAAGAAAAAATCTGTGGAATGGCAGGAATTTTATAATTGTGGGAGAATAATACATGGGAAAGTGAGCGGTTTTTGGGTGGGAGGGGTAAACAGAGAAATTCAAGATTACAGATTTAAGAGACATCTCTGAAGCAGAATTAATAGTGTTTAATGGCTTTGCCCATGAGAGAAGTAAGGAAGGAGAGGTAGAAAATGAATCCAGCATTTCAAATATGGCAGTTTGCTTTCGTTAGCGGGGAGTTCATATGATGAAGAAAACATTCCATTTTGGACTAAAGTTTTACATGACAAATAACATTACATGGATACTTGCAACAGACCCTTGGAAATAGACTTCAGTTTCAAATAAAGTTCTCAGGGTACACTGGTACATGGGTATTGGAGTCTTTATACTGAAGTCATGGGTATGAAGATGTAAATTGATGAATTAATCAAAGACAAATTATGGAGAAATAGATGTATTTAAGTAGCACCTAGAGGAGAAATCAGCAAAAAGACTAAAATTGGAGAGCTAGGAACTTCAATCTTGACAACTTTAACCACCTAATATTCCATAAGGTCTCCAAGAACTGACAAAATAAACATATTTCCATTATGATTGGACTGATAAAATACATATTTGCTACCTATCTACAACAGTCAAATACAAATCTAGAAAACCTGCTATTGATTGATTGGATTAGTTAAAACATACAGATTCCCAGTAGGTCTTTGATCCTTAATTTCAAGAAGTCTTTGGCAGTACTTGTACTTTGGTACAGTCTTAGCTCTTCTGCTAATTTTCACAAATCACAGAGCTTCCATGAACTAATTTTCTCCGCTTAAAAAAAAAAAAAAAACCAAACAACAGAAACAAAACCAAAAAACCAGCTAAGCTCTAAAAATTTAGTTTCTCCAGAGACAAGCAGTTCTGATATTTAAAAACTCTTAAATCCTGAAATATCAATTCCTGTTTTCCCAATTCCACTCTTCTGCCTTCCTCAACGGATATTGATTTGTTATATAGGGTCAATCGAATAGTTCTCTAGCTCCTGTCACGAGTATATTTGTCACTAATCTACTCTGACTGGTGTCTGGTGTCACGCTGGTGGAATGGCATCTTTTTACCCCACCTACAAAGCCTCTCCTTCCTCAGTACCCGTGCAGTGGCTCATCTGGCACATGATGGAAGTATCTCCAGTTTCCTCCAAGTAGTACTGACAGAGTCTGCGCAGACTGAGGAGCCCTATGTGCTCAGTACCCACTAGAGACCTCCAGTTATTTTTTTTCTATGAAAAAAAAATTTTAAAGTCGAGAAAAAAACTTCTTTTAAAAGCCGTAATGACTCTATTGCACAGGCATGTACTTCAAACTAATTATAGTGAGTTAGTGCAGGGTGAAGCAGGGAATACGCAGTGTCTGATTCTCATTTGATTCTTGTAATTCTTTGTGCCTGGCACTGCGCCGATTCCTGAGGTTATACTATTAATTACTTTTTAAGTTCGTATAAGGTCATTTCTGATTCTTGCGGCTGCACGCACAAACCCGCGGCACGCAATACTCCAGAAGGGCAACGTTTTCCTAAGAACGGGACGTGAGAATTTTGGCTCCAGGAAAAGCGCTCGGAAACCACCGCCTCCGCGGTGGCGTCGCAGCACAGAACACAGGGAACCCACTTGGGCCTCTGCTCGTGGGCGGCTTCCGGTTCTCGCCCCGCCCCCGGGCTATACACGCTCCCAGCAGGCGCCGCGCCTGCAAAGCTGTCCCGCCCTCGGTGCGGCCCCACTTCTCGCGGACCTGGAAAGATGGCGGAGCTGGACGTCGGGCAGCACTGCCAGGTGGAGTCCTGCAGGCAGCGAGGTGATGCAGCAGTGCCTATCCCGGCCGCGGGAGAACGAGGCTTTGCTGTCACCCCACAGATGGTGGAGCGGGTGAGGGGAGGCCGCAGAGGGGCGGGGAGGCTGAGCACCGGGGCGGGTGCGTCCCTCTGGGATCAGCTGGGAGTGTGTAGATGCTTTTTGTGGTTGTTGCTCCCTTCGTGCCTTTGGAAGAAACTCGGGGTCCCCCTGATCTCTATGCAGTTGCTGCAAACGGACCTTGTGGAGTTCAGTGCGCCCTGCCCGAGGCCACAGAATGCGTACTGCTGCGTCGTGGAGCTGGCACTCATTTACCTGATGACATCTGAGGAGCTCTGGGAGCTGGAGCGAGAGGTTTAGGTCCCGGAGACCTAGATTCCCATCTGGCCTGCCTCTGCTGCCGGCAACGAGCCACTTTCCAAGACTTTTTGCTTACTTATCCTTTACTCATGTCAGACGAAGGAGTTAGGTATTTAGACCTGGTGTTCACAGCCTCAGAGGAGAGTTTGTGACAAACACTTTATCAAATTCTCAAAGGAGTCATCATCTTCAAACTTAGTCATTAAGTATTATCCTCTTGCTGCTCATTCTTTGATCCTTTACTATCATTGCTTGAACAAATATTTACAAAACATTGATTTTGGTCCTGGACCCACATAATACTATAAACTGCTACACTCTTTTACACAGAAGAGCTTTCAGACTAGTAAGTTCCGTACTGGAGAGTGTTGACACTGGTGATGATCTCTCTCCAATGAACAGAAATCTTGTAAAACAGCCCCTGGTAGAGTGGCGCAGGCTTCAGCATGTAATACTTCTGTAACAGGCAGGTTCTTGAAACAGCAGAATCACACAGACTACTTACTCTTCGGTACTAGCTTTCATTCCATATGCGAGCATAGGGTGGCAGACAGGTTTCATTAGCCCTGCAATTTCAGGCATCAGTAGCTGGTTCCTGAATCAGTGTGTTGAAAAAGACTTTGAGGGTTAGCCCAGATTCAGTGTGAGGGTCATAATTTATTAGATACTGTGGGCATGACCAAAAGGCCAGGTGACAATCCTTGCTAGGTTTTTGTTACTTATAACATCCTGTAGATGCATCTTTCGCTATTACCTGTAATCACCAGTCACTCAGCACATAAAATCTTTTCTTGCAGTCCTTTCTTTTAGCTCTAATTTTATTGAGAAACCTCCATACTGAATTCTATAGATGTACTGATTTACATTCTGACCAACAGTGTAGACACCCCTACCCCCATCTTCACCATTTATTATTTTTTGTATTCTTGATGCTAGCCATCAAAACTGGGTTGAAATGAAATCTCAGAGTACTGGTTTTTGTTGGTTGGTTGGTTTTTGAGACAGGGTCTTGCTGTGTAGTTCAGGCCGGTCTTGAACCCACTGCGTAGACCAGGCTGGCCTTAATTCTCTGCAGTCTTCCTGCCTTGGCCTCCTGAGTGCTGAGATTACAGGTTTGGGCCACCATACTCAACCTCAGTGTAGTTTTAATTTGCACCTCCCTGACCATTAAAGATGTTGAACATTTTTTCATATACTTATTGGCTATTTGAACTTCTTTTGAAAAGTATCTGTTTGGTTCATTTGCCTGTTAGCAGACTACTTGATTTTTTGGTGTTACTTTTTTTAATTCTTTATATAGTCTACATATTAATCCTCTGTTGGAAGTGTAGTTGGTAAAGGTTTTCTCTCATACTGTAGGCTGTTTCATTGCTCTGTCAGTTATTTTTCCTTGCTGTGCAGAAACTTTAATTTGATGTAGTCCATTCATTGATTCTATTATTTCCATGCTATTGAAGTCCTGTTCAGGAAGTCTTTATGCCTATCGCTTCAAGTGTTTCTTCTGTGTTTTCTTGCAGCACTTTTAAAGTTTCAGGTCTTACACATAGATCTTTTTTTTTTTTTTTTTTTGGTTTTTTTCCGGTACCGGGAACCGAACTCATGACCTTGCGCTTGCCAGGCAGACGCTTTGCCGCTGAGCTAAATCCCCAGCCCCTACACATAGATCTTTGATTCATTTGGAATTGATTTTTGAATCAGATGAGAGATAGAGATCTAGTTTCATTCTTTCTTTGTCCAGAATCAGCTGGCTGTAGTTGCTATTCTGTTTTGTGTTCTCTATTCTATTCTGTTGGTGTGTGTCTATTTTTTTGTGCCAATACTTCTCTTTTTTTTTTGTTTTTGTTTTTGTTTTTGGTTTTTCTCTGGTATCAGGAACCGAACTCACGACCTTGCGCTTGCCAGGCAGGCGCTTTGCCGCTGAGCTAAATCCCCAACCCCTTTTTGTGCCAATACTGTACTACTTTTGTCACTGGCTTTGTAGTATGATTTTAAATCACGTATTTTGATGCTTCCAATCTTGCTTTTTTTGCTTAGCATTGCTTTGACTATTCTGGATCTTTTGTATTTCCACACAAATTTTAGTATTTTTTTCAATTTTTGTAAAGAATGCCATTGATATTTTGAGGGGATTGCATTGAATCTGTAGATTGCTTTTGGTAATACAGCCACTTTGACAATATTAATTTTGCCAATTCATGAACATAGATCTTTCCATCTTCTGGTGTCTTTAATTTCTTCTGTGTTCTGAAATTTTCACTGTGGAGATTTTTCACCACATTGGTTGGATTAATCCCTACATATTTTATTTGAAACTATTATGAGTGGAATTTTTTCCTGACCTTTTCCCCAACTAGCCCAGTATTAAAATATACTAACATTATAGATTTTTAATGTTGAGTGTATATCCTGCTACATGGCTGAATTCGTTTTATCATCTCTAAAAATCTTTTGGTAGAATCCGTAGTATTTTCTAAGTATAGGGTCATATTATCTGAAAACTAGGATACTTCTTTTCCTGTTTGTATCTCTTTTCTTTTCTTTTCTTTTTCTGGTCTTTTTTTGTCTTTTCTAAGACAGGGTCTTGCAATGCAGTTCAGGCTGGCCTTGAGCTCACTTTGTAGCCCAGGCTCGCCTCAAACTTGCAGTGATCCTCTTGCCTTAGCCTCCCGAGTGCTGGGACTACAGGCATGTGCCACCGTGCCCGGCTTTGTATGCCTTTTAGATTTTTTTCTCTTGCCTAATTGTTCCAGCTAAAATTTTGAGGACTATATTGAATAAGAGTGGGTATCTCTGCCTTGTTTTCTGATGTATACTTAATTTCTCAATATGAAACTGAAGCTCACAGAGTCATGTTTTAATAGCAACAGTGACAGTTTATCAAACCCACATCTATATAAAGGAAGACTTACTTAGACCTCTTATTCTATAAGTGTAACTACCCAGGGGTCCCTTTTGGTTAAAATACAATCTGTTTTGGGTTAAGATACCTTGTAGGATGAAATCTTTTCAAGGCAGCTGTAACTGTATCTAATCTCTAACGAGTGACTGAAAAGTACCTTCTGGTTTTCACTTTGTAAAAGTGATACAATTGGGTATGTCCGTCCTCCCTTAGTGTTACAGTGTAATTTAACATTAGGTATATTGAAAACAGTTTAGAAAGTGAGTGATTGTATCTAGTGATTAATGGTTAATTACCACATCTGAGAATGGATCCTTTTGCATGCTTTCCAAAACTTCAGTTCCTAATTTAGTTGCTGGTTAGTTGCTTGGTCTTAATGTATCAAGTGCAAGGAAATAGTTCAACAGTTAACTTTAAAGTATCAATCCATTTATTGAATTTCTAAAATCTGAAAGCATATCTCCCCACTGTATTCTGGAGTTGAACATACTCAAAAAAAGTTAATTGTCATATTTATTCTTAATAATTATAGTTACTATATTGTTATTCTGATATTTTACACATATTTGGATTTTATAATTACTTGCTGAGGTAGGTGTGATCCACAGCATAGATACAGATAGAAATCTATATATACATATTCATACCTCATATTAAACATATATGCACATGCATTATGCTTTGTGTGTATATGTATGTATTTACGTCTATATTTATATTAGCTAATAGTTTTGGTCTGGGGGTTTGTATATATAACATACATGGAGAGGGAGACACATATTGCATACCGTATCTCACAGAGACATATACCCTACAGATTATATCTTACTATGTATACTGTATATATCTCTCCAAAACTTTACTGTTAAGTAACCTACCTCATAGAGCTCCATTAGTAAGCAGTGAAAACAAAATTAAATACATGGGTTTTTGGTTTTGTGTTTTTTCTCCAAATGCAAAGTTTTTGCAATATAAATTCTTCAGAAAAAGCACCTAATAAATCTTGAAAATATAGGGAAAAGAAAGAAAAAAGAAAACAAAGAGAAATTGCCACCAGAACTTCTTTTCAGATCTAATAAAACTACTACAAATAACATCTATCTCTTATTAATTTAATCACTTCTTTCCAGAGTTAATGAAGTTGTCATGGCTTTGGTTTAACAATGATTATGTGGTGATACACTAGAAAATTAGTCAAAAAGAGAGGTTCGGGGCTGGGGGTTTAGCTCAGCGGCAAAAGCGCCTGCCTGGCAAGCGCAAGGTCGTGAGTTCGATTCCTGGTACCGGAAGAAAAGACAAAAAAAAGAGAGGTTCTGCAAAGGAGGGTCAATCCTTTAAGATATGTACACTGCACTGTAAGATTCCTTTTCCATAAAAAAACTAAAAAGCAGATACTGACCAGTAACTACCATATTTCCTCAAATTTTAGATTTTCTTCCATTTGTATGTGATGGTTGTTCAGGAATATTTTGGTAAGTTAAATTTTTATGTAGAATTTGAAAGTAATTTCAGTATTTATAATATAGGCTTAATTTTGAAAAAGTATAAGCACTTGAAATAACTTTAGCCATTAATGTGTAGTAATTGGGGGAAAAAACAAACTTGACTAGTCATAGGCTCTGAGTGCTTATGCAAATATGTGATGTATCTTAAACTTGTAGAAATGTGATATTTGTGAATTAAAGAGTATAGTAAAAAGTCTAGTTATGATTCTTACTCTTTATTTTTATTAATAAATGAAAAGACCCAGTTTGTAAATTGCTTAAAGTGGATATTACATGTTATTTGAACATATCACATGCAAGATAGAACCTGAATTCTAACCAAGGATTTTGGGAAAAGTAATTTCTTTTAATTAAAATTTCAAATATCAGGCATTTATTGAACAGAGAACTGAAAGAATAAATTCATTTTTAGAATATAATTCACAAAGATTTGTTAGAAGTAAGTAAAATAATGCATGCTTTTAAATCATTCAAAATTGGAGCTTTCTTTGACAGTTTACTACTGTTGATCTTTACTGATTCCTTTAAGAATAAAAGAAATTGAAAGGTCCTTTTGTGTTTCGTGTACTTTGAAACACTCAAAATGAAAGTAATTTAGAATAGTAAGTTTTTTTTCTCATATTGAGAACATTTAGGCTTTAAAACTTTTGAAACCATCGGTGTTCCATCTTTAATTTATCTGGCATTTCATTTTCATATGAAGAGTTACTAATGTAGTGTGAGTATAGTGTACCTCAAAGATTCCATATTAAAATAGTTCAGCTTGCAGCAATTATCTTTAAGTGTATTACTTGTTTGTATTTAAATAAATGCAATTTTTTTTATATGTTTCAGCCTCGAACACAGAAGCAAGGAATCTCATGATTGTCCTGAGGTATGTTAATTTTCTCTAATCTGATAATGTTTATTTGTATTCATGTATTTTCCTTCAGAATTTGATTAGATTAAAATCTAGTTAGGGCACTAGCGATTAAGTTTGACATCCTAAACTGATTAGGTAAAGGAGATTTTACTTCATTTAATATTATTTTTTTCTTTTTTTAAGAAAAATTGGTCTACTTGATATTTACAAATTTTTATCCTCATAATTATTATTCCTTAACATTTCTGTTTCAGTAGCCCACTTATCCTTAGATTATGTACTTATAAGTATATGTTAGAATTAATCATCATCTTGTCCTTCCACTTCATTGTTTATTTCACTGCTGTGTTTATTTTCACTCATATCTGGTGATAGAATTACTTGTTAGTAAGTTGTTGTGGCCCAGTCAGCCTTAGACCACCGGAAACAAATTTATAATCCAACAAAATCCCTATCCTAATTCCGAACAAATTGATCAATTTAAAAGGGGCTGGCAGAGGCTGGGGATTTAGCTCAGTGGCAAAGCGCCTGCCTGGCAAGTGCAAGGTCGTGAGTTTGGTTCCCGGTACCGGAGAAAAACCAAAAAGAAAATAAAATAAAAAATAAAAAAATAAAAGGGGCTGGCAGATAGAAATCAAAATAGCACTCCTATTACTGATAGTGAGTAAATTGAACGGTGAGGCTTAGTGTAGAGCCAGAGGGCTCTGTAGAGGTAACCTAGAATTAGACTGACTTAGACACAGCATACTGGACCAGGTTAGCCTTCCTGAAAGCAGTTCAATTTCAAGAGGGAAAACAGAAAGCTGTATCCAGCATGCCTAGTGTAAAAATTTTCTTAAACTTGACAGTCAGCTACATTGCATCACTGGTCTTTTAGGCAGAGAGAGGCAGGAATTTAAATTGAATTCATCACTTAGTGGGAAGCATTTGTCTCTTAACACTGTACAGGTAGTATTTATTCCTGCTTATTATTTATCAAGCATTTTTCTTCAGATTTTTACATCTGTTCTCTCAGTTATAGAAAATGAAAAAGAAAGAAACTGAAGATTACATGAGTTCAGTCAGAATGTGAGCCTTTCAAGGGATTAATTTAAAAAAAATAAAAACTTCCTAACATGGTAGCAGGAAATATTCATATGTTGTAAAATTTATTGATTTTTTTACACAGTTTATACATCTTTTATGTTTTCTTTTTTCTAATGTCATTTTATTTCTATGAATTAACTCTGAAACTATTAGATCTCATTAGTTAAATAATGAAATAAAAATAATTTTAGCAATGGGTCATTGCAACAAATTTAGAAGTATATTTAAGTTAATTCCTACAAAGTGTAACTATCATTGATCCAAAAAATTTCCTCTGGGTATAATGTTTAAGCATTTATTTCCCTAAATTTATTTATTTATTTATTTATTTATTTTTGCTTTTTCTCCGGTACCGGGAACCGAACTCACGACCTTGCGCTTGCCAGGCAGGCGCTTAGGCGCTTTTGCCGCTGAGCTAAATCCCCAGCCCTTCCCTAAATTTATTTAACTCAAAAAACTTCTTTGCTTAATGCTCAATAGCTTAGCTGATATGGATTTTTTTTTTTTTTTTTTTAGTACTACAAATTCTTGTTTTCCTCTGATCTAATTTATAGCATTGAAAATAGTTTTATGATTATGAAAATTATCCTTACTCAACGTCATGGATAAATACATAATTTTAAAGTGTTCTGTCCCCTAAATTAGATGTGCAGTCCCCTACAGCTGATACAGAAAGTAGTTAGTGTTTGCCATTTGCAGATGATGAGATGGTTACCGAAGCATATTTTATTATGAGGGCCTCTTTGTATGAACCTGTTGCAACATAGAAGATTAAGAAAAGTCATTTCAGCTGTGCGTGGTGGTGCACACCTATAATCCCAGCACTTCAGAGGCTGAGGCAGGAGGATCCTTGTGAGTTTGAGACAAGCCATGGCTACAAAGTGAGCTCAAGGCCAGCCTGAACTGCATATCAAGACCCTGTCTCAAAAAAAAAAAATAAACAAAAAAAAAAGAGAAGTCATTTCAACTTAGCATAGAAGATAAACATGCCACAGTATGAAAATCTGAAACAGCAGCACAGTGTCACACATTATGTGAGAGTGTATAGCTTGATCTAATAAAGTTAAGTGAAAATGATATGAATGCTGCGTTCAAAAATAGATTTGTAAATTTGCTTTAAAAGTGAACTGTAATGCCGGTGTTTTTCTTTTTTCACATTTTCAGGTGACTGTAATCAATGTGAAACCAAAAATAGATACACATGAATCTTACCCATGCTCATTCAAGGACTGTGCTGAAAGAGAGCTTGTGGCAGTTATATGCCCTTATTGTGAGAAGAATTTTTGTCTAAGGTGAATCACTTAGACTATTCAAGCTTTGTATGTCTGTTTATATTATATACAAATATATGAAGTGGTATCACTCTTCTGTTGCTCATAGACACCGTCACCAGTCAGATCATGAGTGTGAAAAACTAGAGATCCCAAAGCCTCGTATGACTGCCACTCAAACACTTGTTCGAAACATTATCCGTAAGTAGCTAGAAAGCTTGTTTTGGTGCTTTCCTTATTACTGTGTAGTCTATTAATTCTAGAGCTCTGCCTATTAAAGCTTCTTACCAGTTATGGAATGTATTACTAACAGGCCCAGTGGCAATAACTTGTAATTTGATGACATTCTTTGTGATAGTGTTTTGCACAAGGCCTACCTGGCCTATGATAATTTGTATATTGTGAATATCCCACCAGATAGTCTCTCTTACTAGGCTGCTTAGATCAATTTGTTAGCCATTATGGCTAGATACGGTATTCATGAAATTGGCATAATGGGTTGCTTTCTCTATAGAATCAATTCTTATAAGCCTATTTGGGTATGCTGTAGATACTCTGATAGTAAGAAGTACCAGGAAAAAATAAATTGTCTTACTTTCTTGTTACTGAGATGCAGCACCTAACACCACAACTTTAAGGAAGAAAGATTTATTTTGGCTCACGGTTTATAGAGGTTTCAGTCCATAGTCAGCTAGCTCCAAGGCAGGGCAGTGTGCCAGATGAGCATGGCACAGAAGAAAAAGCTCATGACGGGGTGGTGGGGAGGAGAGAGTGATCAAAGGAGGAAGGAGGGAGAGATACTCTCCAGGCCATACCCCCAGTGACCCACCTCCCACCGCGCTTCCTCTGCCAACTTCACATGTAACTGTAAACTTACAACCTCCATGATCCAGTCACCTCCGTAGAACTCCACCTGTGAGCACACATGCCTTTAAGGGGACACTGAGATATAAATCATAACCATATCCGTGAGTTAGACTCTCTACCAGTATGGCAGTTGAGCAGAATTTTCATTCTGGATTAAGAACAGTACTAAATCATAAATTTTTCTGTAGAAACATTAGTGGCTACTTCAGACCAAATAGCCTTATATTGGAAAAAAACACATTACCAGTGAATTTATTGATGTGAAGATTGCTTAGATGTGTGGGACACGTGTTGCAGCGAGCTGTTTGTTATCGAGAGCTCTGAAAGGTTTGCTCTTGGTGATTTAGATCAACCTCAATGAAATTTTTCCAGTAGCCATATAAATAAAATACTTGCAAAGTGAAATGTGGTTTCTATGCATTTCCATTGTGTATAATTTATGTATGTTGCAGGGTTAGAATCAACAAATATTTTATTATGAAAAAAACTGGAAAAGGCAATATAAAAGTTCCTAATGTAAAAAAAAAAAAAAAAAAAAAAGTTCCTAATGTACTTACATGCTTACATTTGTTTCTTAGATTCCAAGTCAGGAGAGAGAACAAATAAACGACTGGAAGGCACAAAAAATAGTGTAACAGCTGCAAAGGTTGCACTAATGAAATTAAAGATGCATGCTGATGGGGATAAGTCATTGCCGCAGGTTGGTTTTGAGACTGAAAAACAAAAAAATTTCAAATATTGTTGAAATCCCCTTTAAAAAAAAATCTCCCTCACATCAAGTAACTATTGACCTGAACATGATACATATCATTTGTAATATTACATAGCTTATGGACTGCATAAATAATATATACTTCTTGAGTTTTTTCACTTTACAAAACCATGTGTATCCTTCACTTTTTTTCCCGTTAGCATCATGTTTTTAACATTTATCCATGATGATATTTTTAATCTATTTCATTTATTCCATAGTGTGAATATATCCCAGTTTATCTAGTCTTTTAATAAATAAAATTCAAATTTTTCCTATCTTCTTTTTACTAGAAACTGTTTTATAGTGAAGATTCTTGTGTATGTGTGAAGGAGTTTCTCCAGGACAATCCCTTTAAAACTATACAATAGAAATTATTTCATGTAACAACTCAGTACATACATGCATACATGTTGAGATTTCTTGACATACTTTCATTAAATGATATTTAGGCTTAGTATTCTTTATTCTTTCTCATATTGTTTTAAAAAGTAGTGACAAGAATCTACTAGGTTGATTTCCCAACCCATAATAGCTTCAAACCATCAGATTAAAAAATGCTACTTCAGGGAATATATATTTAGAAGTAGAAAACCTGAGTCATAACGTTCACTCATCTTTTGCTTTACTAGATATTGCCACCTTCCTATTGTCTGTGTGTTCTATCTCCTTTCAGTAGTGCTTCCAACTATATTCATTCTTGGCCATTCATTCTTTCATAAGTATTTTAAGATCAACTTGTTCTATGAAATTGCAATTTTAATAGGAACTGTACTAAATTTTAAAAATATTTAACATCTTTAGAACTTTGACTTATTCCATCCAAGTCCCTGGTTTATCTTTTCAGCTTTTCTTGAGTTCTTCTATATGTGTCAGGCTATAATGCTTCCCATATGCAATTACATATCTTTGTCTTAGATTTATTCTTAGGCTTTTTATAAATTATGCTGTCATTGTCAAAATTTTGTGGCTTTTAAAAACGCATTTTTTTATTTGTTACTGTGTGTTGATCTATCCAACAACTTTGGAATGGTTTCCATACTTCGTTGATTTTCTGTGTGATCATATCTTCTGCAAATTCTAGTTTTGCTGGGGTTCTCTCTCAAATTTTCTTTTCTTTTAATCTTCCTTTTATTATTACTTAGTACTGAGAGCCCCACAACAGTGTTGACTGATACTTAAGTAATATGGGAAGTGGGCATCGTCATCTTTTTTTGGTGGTGGAGATCGAACCCAAGGCCTCTAGCAAGTCAGGCAGCTACTGTGCTTCACCCCTGAGCTGCATCCCCATCCTTTCATCATATTTCTAACTTCAGTGTAAATGTTTCTAAAGATTCATCAACTGTTTTGTTTGCTGTAGCCTCTGTCACATTGACGCTTCTTTCTATTCCAAGTTGGCTAGGAATTTATATAATAAATGGATATTAAGCTTTCCTAGAAGTTTTTCTTAAATCCAGTAAGGTGATCATTTTTCTCCTTACCAGTGTGATAAATTATGTTGATTGGGGTTTTTTTTGTTGTTGTTGTTAAATCAGTCACACAATTGGAGTGAACCACTTGACTCCTAGATGAATATTTTAAAACACAATGCTAAATTTATTTGCTAATTTTTAAAAGTTTACAGATACTTGAGTGACTTTAGTACCAACTCTGTACTCTCTTCTTTGTGCTAGCTGTAAAGGTAAAATCTAAACAGCAGAAAAGTTGAAATTCTGAGCAGAAAATACTGAATCACAAAACAAAGAAATAATATAGATAAATAGTTAATTTGTTAAATTCACGACTTTTGCAATTTTAAAAACTAATAAAATTTTTTTGTTTTTGTTTTGTTTTGTTTTGTTTTGTTTGGCGGTACTGGGGATTGAACTCATGACCTTGCACTTGCCAGGCAGGTGCTTATGCCACTGAGCTATATCCGCAGCCCCTAAAATTTTTTTAAAAGTGGAAACATTATGAACAATCACAAACAACAGAAAACTAATCAGTGGTTTTCAAACCAGTAAAATAAGAGGGAATACAGAAAACAGGTTATAGGAAAGAAAAAAAATAAAGAAAAAGAGCAGAAAATATAAAATGGAAGGAATACATTCAAACATATCAGTCATCACAATAAATATAAATGAGTTTTTAACTCACCTATAAAAGAGATACTATCAAACTGGATTAAAAAAACAAATTCCGGCTATATGCTGCTTACAAAAGATACCCTAAAACAAAACAACACAGGCAAGTTGAATATAAAAGAATAAAAAAAAATAGTTAAATATTCACCAAAAGAAAGCTAGTAATAAAATCTTATAACTCAAAGTAGGATTTGTGGTAAAATTATAAAGATCCACCAAGTGAAGAAACTGTAAATACCTAATACTATACAAAATAGCAAACTTTTAGAGTTACAAGAAAAAATTGACGAAAACACATCCAGCATTGGAGATTTTAATACCACATCTGTCTTAGAAACTGATAGATCAAACACAGCAAAAGTAAGCATATGCACAAAGGCAGATATAGGGGCAGTTATTGCAAATAATAAAGCAAATAGGGAAAAATACAAATAACTCCTTTACTTGGGTAAAAAATACGCAAAAGTTCTTTGTACTATTCTTGCAACTCTTGTGTTTGAAATTGTATCAAAATAGAGGTAACAAAAACCCACACCCAAACATCTACGCTGCATTCACCATTCTATGTGAGAATGTTTCCCCTTTTAAAAAAATTTTACTAGTTTTTAAAATTGCAAAAGTAGTGCATTTAACAAATTAACCATTAGAAAATATGTGTGAATTCCTTGTCCCTCATCCGTTTCTCTCCCCTTCAATTAGTAATTCTCAGCTCAGGACAATCTTGGCAATGTCTGGAGATGTTTTGCTTGTTACAAGTAGGTATAGAATGCACTGATACCTAATGGATAGAGAGCAGGGCCACTGTTCAACATCCTATCATGCACAGGAAAGAGCCCACAACAGTTTTCTGGTCCAGAGTGTTCCTACTGGGCTGGCAATACGGTTTAGTAGTAGGACACTTGACTAGCGTGTGCAAGGCTCTGAGTTCAGTACGTAGCACTGCAAAAAAACAAACCACAAAAAAAATGTTAGCATTGACAAAGTTGAGAAGACCTACCCCAAATTATCCAATATCATTAATATTACTTTGCAATTCTTTTTGTTACTTAAAACATAATAATAAAAACTTTAATAGCACCTGACTTTGTTCTAGGCAGTGTTTTAAAATGTGTCGTCCTTGTAACAAGTTAATGAGATATATGTACTATTGCAGATGACAAAACTGATGTAGAGGGGCTAGGGATTTAGCTCAGCGGCACAGCGCCTGCCTGGCTAGCGCAAGGTTGTGAGTTTGATTCCCAGTACCGGAAAAAAACCAGAAAACCAAAAAAGAAGAACTGAGGTAGAAAAAAAAAGGTTAAATTACTTGCCAGTAATATGAATCATAGAGAGAAATTGAAACAAGGCTTCAGAGGCTATTTTCTTAATAGGCTTAGCAATGTATTATGGAACATTTCCCAAGTTTGTAGACAGTTTGTCCCCCTTATCACTAATCAGTCCTGGGATCTTTCATCCTCAGCCTCTCAGAGTGCTGCACTTACAAGCATGAAATATCACACTCAGCTTTCCTTATTTTTATCATGAATTATTTTATGATTTTTCTGAAATATTTCTCCCACCTCTGTACTAATATATAAGGGGAAAAGTCTTGATTTTTTGTGTATGTCTATTCAGCCATTTTATCAAATTTTTAAATTAATTTTATGATTTTTATTACTGACATCTTCAATTTCCAAGGAAACAGGAATAGTGCATTAACAAAATACAGGGTTTTTTTCTTTTTCAATCTTATATGGTATCCTATCCTGAATAATACAAGGAGCTTGATTTGCTTTATGTATTCAAATATCTCCCATCTCATTTTTTTCAATAACACATAAAATTTTTAATTCTAATTTTTTTTTATTTTCTCCTTTTCTTTGGGTTCATTTTACTTTTTGTAAGGTGCCTTCTTTGGTAGTTCATTCAGTAAAGGTCTTTGTTGGTAAACTGAGTCTTTTTATGTGAAAGAGCTCATATTTTCCCCGCAATTTTAGTGATTCTAGTTGGTTGGTTGCTAGAATTTGTCAGCTCTTTTCATTTACTAGTCATTAGTGTCTGCCCTGTGTTGTTAAAGAACCACCTGCTGGTGGCCTTATTCTCACTTTGTGAATAATCTTTTTTGGTAACTTTTAAGATCTTTTTCTGTAATGTTTTTTTGGTTTCAGTGTTTTTAGGTATAGGTTTAAGTATTCAGCTTGACATTTAAAGTTACATTTTTGTCTTTTTACTTTGAGAAATTTCTATAATTTTCTCTAAATATTGCTCGTTAGACATATGGTAGAGATCTATAATTTCTTTGTGTCTCTTTATGCTATATTCTAAATGACCCTTACATCCATCTCCTAAGTACTTATACCTTTTTATTGAGGATTATAGAAATTTATCATGTGTTGAGTTTCATTTTTCATTCAGTGACGTTTTATTGAGCCGTTTGCATTGTGTTGAGCACCATTGTAGATGCTGGGAATAACAAAAAAAAGGACAAGAATTCTTGCTTTTGGGAGCCTTACATTACAGGGAAGATAAATCAGCAAACAAATTAGCAAATAACAGTTTCAAACCTAGGAAAGTATGTAAAGAAAAAGTAAACAAGGTAATGAGAATATCTTCATTTTTATTAGTACATATTTGGAATACATAAAGATTATATTCATCATGAAAACTTAGGACATATACATATCTTAATTCTTTTTACATCCTCTTCTACTCCCTTCCCTCCCAGCTGCATTTCTCTTCCTACCCTCCCAGCTACCTCCCTTTTTCCTCCTTTATTACCTATTATCTATCTTTTATTTTGCTCTTTATTTACATTTTCAGTTTATCATTTAAGAGGGGCCATGCGAT